TGCATGCCACTAGTGAGGAAAAACAGGATTTGGAAAGTGTTTTTTAAAAATCACAGTTTCTTCCGGCTTTGCTTAATCTTGATAATCTAGCCGTTTGCCTTCCTTGCATATTTTAGACACAAAACCTCACAGATAAAAATTGAAATAGTACAGAAATACAACAAGAATATAATAGCAGTTATTAAAATAATAGATAGTGGCAGGAAGGTTCAGAGGGCTGCTAATAAGATGCATATTTAAGTGAACCATTCATGCCTGGCCAAAGTCAGTACTAACAGAAAGATGGGTGGACTCTATGAATGAATTTAGCAAGTCTCAACAAGGGGCTCTGCAGAGCCCCTACTCAGGGCCGTGGGTAATTTGCACAATAAAGTTCTTAACCAAACTAATAAAAATAAGATCAAGAGTACTGTGTACGTACAGGGAGAATGTTTTCTGTAATAAAACCGTGCAAGTCACAACACTGGCATCCCCACTTAAAAGGAATGGGTTGTGCTTGTACTTCGACTCCTCAGCATGAGAACATTAGTAAAATGTTACTTCGTGCAAGCAGAGATTACTAAAGACAGAGCCTGGCATCCAAGCCTAAGACATTCAAGCTGTAAATATGTGCATGTACTGAGGCTAACCTTAGCTGAAGTAGTGTCATACAACAATCACATTAACAATGTTAGGCCCTAACCTTACAAACACACACACTTAACTTTACTCTCTTGTGTCTCTACCAACTTAATTATATTTAAATAGGAACATGTGTGTGACCAGGACCTACATGTGATCAACTATGTTTATTGGCCAATATATTTAAAATTAAAACTTAACAATAAGCAGCTTTTTTGAGCCTTTATTATGATGTTTCTAAAGCTTCTTTTTGGCAGTTGGCACAAGTGGGGAAAAGGAGAGTTGCAGATGAGAATACAATAGACCAGTGTTTCTTAAAGCAGACTATGGGAAGGACTAGCTGTGAGAGAGGGTTGGTGGAGAGGAGAGGAGAGGAGAGGAGAGGGTGTGGGGAAAAGCATGGAAAATGTGGAAGACTCATCAATTAGGGGGAAAGGCCTTGCAACACCACATGCCAGCATTTAATTTTTCTGAAGGTGAGTATACAAAAGTTTAGGAAATACTGCAGTATTTCACCTGGATTCTGCAAATGTAAGAGAATCCCTGCAAACAGCTTTTTCTGAAAAATCAGGAAGATTTGGGAAACATACATGACTCCTTTTGCCTGTGTCCAGTTGACCCACTTTGCACATTTAGTCCAAGAATAAGTGACCTGATTTACAGAAATGCTGAGTGCCCAACTGTTCCCCATTGTATTCAGAAGTCTACATATGGATTTAGAATCCTGACTATAGGCTCTAAGTTTTGAACATTTGGCCAAGACAAGTTTCTGGGGCAGTGGATAATGATTCCATGTTTGAATCCTGTATGCCTATTATTTCAAATATTAAGTCTGACTAAACTCCCTGCAAAAGCCAGGATAATCAAAAGATATCTATATCTATCTATATATATCTTCATCACCCTAGTTCTCAACATTGAACCTATATATGGCAACAGAAGTGACATACTTACTCTTTAAAAAAAATAAAAACATCTATATCTCGGCACACAAGATTAACTGCCAGAAAGTTAAGAGCCTTACAACTGAATTTGCTTTTCTCCAATGAGTAGTCATGAAGAAGCTAGTAGTTAGGATTTTTAACAACTGAATATAGATCCTAAAATGAATTTTTTTGCCATCTGCTGGGTACAGCTATTTACGCAATATAAAGACTATCTAATGCTACTGTCACCCACTCTTTCCATGTTGTTACACATCTCATGCAAGTACAGTTGTCTTCCTAAACAGTATTTAAAACATGACTTCAGAGAACAGCTCTTATCATCTGAAGCCAGCATATCCTATAACATGTGAAAAACAGATAAATAATTTCCTCCTGTTCCCTAAGTGTTAAACCTACTTAGTCTGATCATTTAAAGAAGGGAGGGAAAAGAACACCTTACAAAACACAAAAGGTGGTCATGCAAGGACTATGAATTAATCATTTGGAAAATTTGCTTTTGCTTCTTAAACAAGCTGGTTTTGAACAAGTTAATAAAGACTTCAGAAGAAACAAAACCTCTAGCACCAGTTTCCATACCTCTATTAAAAAGGCATCTAGGTTTATATTAAACTGTTCTTGAACTGATGGTTTACACAGGCTATAACAAGAACTCTTCCTTGGAATACTGCCTTACCTCTAGCTGGTGATGAGCACTAAGCTGCGAAAAAACCCAAAACCCCACACACACCAATTATAATTAGAGTATAATCATATTATTAGCAACAACATGAGGAGCTATCATTCATACTCTGTAATTCAACACACCACAGACATCTCATTTCTGTTACATACTTATAAGACAAGGGTTGTCTCCCTCTCAAAAATCTTCATAAAAATAATTTCTATGTCAAATCTTGCCTGCGTGCCCTGACACTAGCAAACAGCATTTGGAGAACACTGAAGGCAATACAGACATGTAGGTTTTAATATCATGATCTAGAACAGCAGTGCACAATTCACTCAGCCCTACAAACCAGATAAGTAGTTCGGGATTAGTTTGCAGGCTACATGGGTGGCACAGGAGTGGTGTGTGGGTGCAATCCAGTGCATGGGGATGTTTCATCTAGCCCACAAGGCTCCCCATGAGTCCAGAAATTTGGTGGTGGGACAAGTGCAAGCAGTGTTAATTGCCAAGACTCTAAAGGGCAATGACAATTAATGCTGCCACTCTGGCGCCAAATTTCCAGGCTTGGAGGCCATATGACATGGCTCTGCACGCCACATCCAGCCCATGGGCAATATCTTGGTCACCCCAATCTACAATAATAAGATTAATCAAGAGTTTAAAATGTCTTTTAAGCCTTTTTGCCATTTTTTCTCTCAAAAATTCCCAGAAATTTCACAAGATGCTATTTGAAAGATAAGCGTGAAAATGTTATTTGGGAAATTATTCACTAGCAAATAAACCAAATCAAAAACAGTGTATAGTATGCCTTTTACCCTTTTTCTTTTAAACAGAACCTGCAAAACAACTTGATCAAGAGGAATTTTTCTAGAAAAAACAAATTGTCATAAAAAACCCACACAGGCTCTGAAAACCCTCATCCTCAGCAACACGCCAGACACGTGCATTTTCTACCTGGCTCCCTGACTCATCTACCCCACTGATTCTCAATCTATGCTGCTCCTTCAAATGCCATATCTCAGCTCCTCTGTCCAGTCACAGGTTTGTTTCTCTGCAAAGCTGTTAAATGAGTCTTCAACTGGACCACACTGAGTCCATGGTTCTTGCTGACCTGGTTAAGTTGTCCAGTAGATTTTAGAAGGAATGCTGGAAGATAAAACTGGAAAGGGAACAGAAATCATAGTTCAGAGCCAGGGGATTAAGAGAAGGCTGAAAGATCACAAGGAGCTAATTTTATAGAGATCAACTGGGAAAACTTTGGTCCAACAAAAGCACTTATCAATCCATAGCTGTGCACAGCAATAGGAGGAATGGACCTGGAAACCATCTGCTCCTTGCCTCTGCTCAGTACAATCTTGGCGAGAGCTTAGGAGTTCCGTGATGCATCTTTCTACTTAGCTCCCAGTATAAGACGGGAAAAAATAAAATAAAATAGGGAAATACTGGGAGTGGAAACCTAAGAAATCAAGAGTTAAAGGCTAAAATTAAAACAAATCCCAATACTTACAATCATGAGCATTCATAGTTAAAATTATCAGAACCACCTAATCTCCATCTTCACCGCTCTTCCTCTAGAATAAACCAGAAATGCTGAAGAAATCTTAACAATCTCTTATAAACAGTTTCATCCCATCAGTGATCATAAAAGCCAGAGATCCATTATTTCAGACATCCCCAACAGCGCTGCAGACCACTGATGAGCCACAGATCCTTGGCTGATAGCAGCTGCTCATCCCGTTTCCATTGACTACACCATAATTAGAGAAGGTACACATCTCTTAATGTTATTTTCCCTATTCCCTATATTCCCTATGCTTCTACAATCATGAACAGAAAGAAAAACACCAAGAAGACATTAATGCAGGGGTGGGTAATGATTTGGGCTGGACGGCCACTAAGGGAGTTTTGGTGAACTGTTGCATACCCAGGGCAGTGGGATTGGCAGCATGTGCCATGACCCAGGCTCTCCCTCACACCTGGGTTTGGCAGGGCTAAGAGACCCACCATGGGCTGGATAGAATCCCTTGGCGGGTTGGATCTGGCCCACGGGCTGCATTTTGCCCACCCTGCATTAAGGCCGGGTGCAGTCATTACACTTTTTCCAGTTTAGGTGGTCAGAAACCCATCAATACCTGTAACAAAACACAAGTTTGGGACACCTAGGCCGCTTTAAAAATGGCGGATCCCAGACTAAAATAGACCTGGATCAATGCAGTATCATACTTACTTAATCTAGGTTCAACCAGCCCACTGAACGCGAGTGCCTCATCCACTTGCGAATCAAGGTAGGTCGCTGTCTGCCAGCTTCCTAGTTGGCTGCATGGGGTCCCTGCTAACCCCACTTCGCAGGGAGCCGTGGCATGGCTGCTCCAGCCAAGTGCCTAGCTGGCCCTGCCCCCAAGCTTGCTGTCTGTCAACAACAGGCAGGAGAGAGGCAGGGGTGGGAGTAGGAGGAGGGCTCACAAGCAGCTGTGAGGAGGTGGTGCCAGCAGCACACCCTGCATTACCAGCTGGGTTGCCAGGGCACAGAGTGACCCTCCACTGTCAAACCCCAGGACCCTGTACCAGAGTGGCTCTAGGAAGGGCTTGCCAGATTCCCCCTACCCTCAGAGCAGTACCAAATTTCTGGCTGAAGCTGCTTCCCTGCAGCTGCAAAGGCATGGCTGCCTTCCCCCACTTTCCTGGAGACCATAACCCTGCATCTTTAAAGAAGCAACTTCAGCTGGGAATTCAGCACTGGCTTCAGCGGGAGGATCCTGTGAGCCCTTCCTGGAGCCACTCTGGTATATGATCCAGAGTATCCCTCCCTTATCTCAAGCCCCGGGACCCTGCACCAGAGCAGCTCTGGGAAGGACTCACAGGATTTCCCCCCACCTCCCTGGAGCCAGTGCTGAATTCTCAGCTGAAGCTGCTTCTGTGCAGCTGCTGGGCTATGGTCCCTGGGGCAGGTGGGGGTAATCATGCTGTTGCAGCTGCAGAGAAGTGGCTTCAGCCAAGAATTCAGTGCTGGCTCTGAGGGTGGAAATCCTGCAAACCCTTCCCAAAGCTGCTCTAGTGCAGGGTCCTGGAGCTCAGATAGGAAAAGGGAGGGATGCTCTGTGCCTTCCCAGCTAGGTTGGCAAGGCAGGGGTGCTGCTGGCTCTGCCTTCCCACAGCAGCTCAAGAGCTCTGCTCCTACCTCCCACTCCCCCCCAGCCTCTGTGCCATCTGGGATGGACCCCTGCACACTCCACCCCAAACAAAGCCCAAGAAACCCCATGCCAGTGAGTGGGAGCAAGCACACCTCCCTCCATTGGCTGCCTGCCTGACAGATGACTGGACAGCAGAGGCAGGCTCATGTATGACAGCCAACAAGGGTTGGCCCAGCTGTTCACCTGTGCTTGGCTGAAACATCTGGCACTTCAGGAAGCACACAGGAGTGCCCCCAGCTTTCTGGCCTTGGCCAGTGCAGGCATCTGCCTGCCTCCCCCGACCGAAGAACAAACACAAGTTCCACCTGCTCCTGATCCAACCTACCATCTTAGAGAACCCTGAGTAGACTGGATTGATTCTGCCTCAGGCTTTTTGACAGTCTGTACTTAGCCTAAGATATGGTCCAAATCATGGCTTTCCAACTCCCCATCATTCATGCCACCACTGCCAGGGTCTCTGGGCTCCCCCTTCTGCGCCCTAGCCCTGTCTGTAGCGACAGGGAAGGGGAGCGGAAAGGGGAGCAGGAAGGCAGGACCTGAGGCCTGCAGTCACTCAGAATTTGGACAATTAAAAAAAACCTCTAGAAATCTCTGCTTTGCTAGGCTATGTAATAACTGCTTTAACTATAACTTTGTACAGTTACATGGAGTTTACCAAAAGGTATAATTTATTGTTGTATCTTTCACTCTTCATGAAACAAAGCCAATAAGAACTGATAGGGATGCAGTTAGATCCTAGTAATTGTGTTTACTAATAATATACAAACATGCCAGGATTCACTCCATATGTATGCTGCCCTGATGTGGTTTCACGCAGCTCCTATAAACATACAGCACAGTGAATCCCACAAGAGAGTTTACAAATTCACAGCCCTGTTCCCATACATTCACAAAGTCTTGATTGACAGGACCACAGCAGAGTGAAAGAAGTCACCACAGAGCTAAGCTCTTAATGAACAAAAACTCTGTCCCTTTCCACTGGGATGCACCCATCCATCTCCACTCCACTCTACTGCTGCTGCTTCTGTGACCCTCTGGCTGTGAAGGAGGAAGTATTTGTTCTCAAATAAACATACATGGGCATCAGATCATGTGAATGCATGGTGTAAAAGAAGAAATCATAGACTGATGTACAGATACTGGAGAAAAAAAATATATATGTAGCTACAAACCTCAACCTTTTAAAATTAATTCCTTAAGACCTTGAGCTTTTCTTTTTCTCTTGACAGATTTTTGGTGTTATATCTTCAAAGATACAAGTAATTGGAACAAAAAAAATCCCTGTAATTAAGAGCTGAGCAAGATCAAAACTCCTTGCACACAAAAATAATTTGCTTAAATTTTGTAACAACACAAACTCCAAAAACTGCAGGGCAATTTGAATCTATAAGTCACTTGCCACATTCAGGTATCCCAAGTAAAAAGGCCAAGAGGCACAACTGTTCAACAGAAGCCCTTTTTCTTTGATCCTATGATGATAAATATCTTAAATGAAAGCTTGTTGTTTGCAACAATATGCTAACATGGCACTTTTTTTTAGAGTTGTGCAATTTCTGCTGGAAGCTCCAAGGTTTAAGTGTTCACTTTACTTGTGGAACATTGCTATAAATATTTACACACTCGGGGTTTCCCCTGGTGCTGAATTAAACAAGTTATCCCAACACCTGTCCTACACGGTTGTTGAGGCAGTTACCCTTTACAATGGATACCTCTTCCTAAGGGTTACTGTGGATTACACAATTTACCCCTTTGGTCATTGAAGAACTGGAAAAAAATTTTAATGAGTTTTCTCATGAAGAGTTCTCTTTTGGAATTAACAAAATAAGCTTTATTATTTGTATTACAAGGGTTTGGCTTTATATAAATACAGTAGCTTTCTTACATTATCATTGTTTCATAAGCTAAATGTCATGAAGTTAATATCCCATATGTCTCTTAGAAACCCGCTTGTTACTTTTTTCTTAGCTTTAAGAGCTGCATGGGAATAATTATTAGCGAAAAATCCAGCAATCTCCTGTCAGAGAAAACTCCCACCGAAAACAGAGTTCAGCCCTTGATTGCTTCCAAAACCGGACAGTTACTCCCACTTACTCACACATTAGTCTCTGTTCAAACCCCACACAACTCCCCATTGAAACCACTGAGGAGTTCCTTAAACAAAACAAAAAAGCAAGGAGTAGCTCAGGCACAACAGGGAATGGTTATTACTTTGTATCAGCTAGTTAAGTAGGTTCAGATTCTGAACTCCTTACTTGATTGGTAACCTTATCCTGACAGTTGCACCATTAAAATTTATTAGTACTACTCCAGAAACTCTCAACTTGAGTAAGGACATGAGAATCTGACAGTTAAAATTCAGATAAAAATGAGAAATAATCCTACAAATCATTAGCACTAAATGAATTGCTCAACTAAGCGTGCAGACAGAAGAGTAGCTACCCACTACAACTCATAACGCTTTGCAGGAAGCACTCTGAGATGCAACAGTTCCTCAGATAAAACAAACTGGCTGTTGCGTCTGGGACTTGGGGATTCCAGCTGCTTGCTGGGAGCCTGCAGCCGGTTCTCCATAGCAATGTCATGCCCCTCTCCCAGCCCACAGACTGTTTTCAAAATGGGAGGGGGTAAAGGGAGCAGAGGGAGCTCATTCTTGGGGTTCTCCAGCGAGCACTGGAGGATGGGGTGAGTAGATCAGAGTCCCCCCATCTTGGGGAGGAAACCAATACACCCACTCCACCCTCCAGCATGGGCTGAAAAAGCCCCAAACCAAACTCTCCTTTCCCTTCCCCCCCCACTCTTGTTCAGAAAGCAGCAAACCGCAACAGGCTAGGAGCTCCACAGACAGAAGTTACAGAATGTGCTCCATTTTGGAGCATGTTCATCTGAACTCTCATGCAATGAGGGTTCAAATTTTCACAGGATCAGGCCCTTTTAAAGTGGTTTGCAGCCACAAACTTCTGTTTCATCACAACTGGACCACTTTCTGGAACCAGATCAGGCCAAAACTGCCACTTCTTGTCTGTGCCCTAAGATTGCTGACTTCAACACTTTCAATTAAACCTTGATTTTTCTTGACTTTGGCCAAAATCAATCCAAATGTAAGTCTGTTATATGGTACTCTGTCTGCAGAAAGTATCCAGCCATTAGAAGATGGCCCAGATGCTTTTGCTTCAGTGTAAATCAGGAACGGTTCCACTCAAGTCAATGGAGGAAAATCTGTGACCTTTCCCATTTCTGTGTGACATGCTGCTAATAAGAAACAGCATTAAATGTACTTAATGACAGTCAATATGAATGAAAATACCTCCAACTACAGAAATCACTGTACATCTATTTTCCTGTTAGCCGGTGTATTTTAATTAAGTGCCCAAAGAGTTCTGGAAGAGACTATGACCAAGTCTATAGAAATATGCCTTGTGATTAATCTAAATGGTAAACAGCATTTCTACAAATCATAAGAATAATGATGAATTTTAAGATCTATGGCCATGAACTCGTATGTCTTCAGTGAACTTTATTCTTAAATATCTCTTTCATTTACTACCTTTTTATTTGCTTTTGTAACCTGCATATGTCTTGCACTTTTCACTATTTTCATTAAAAATATTTATGTTTACTTCTGCTAAGAAGATACTGTACAACACTGACTGTAATTACTGACAGTGAAAAAAATCTAAATTAAACACCTGTGCATGTGCAAAATACTACAGAATATACTTAAGGCTCATGTTTCCCATAGGGTTTTTTTCTTCCTCCCTTCTTTGGAGAAGGGGTAGAAAGGACTTGATTTAAGGACTGAGTAAGAGTCACAGTCAGGGTACAGCGTAGTTTACCATAGAAGCTCCCTGAATGTAGGAAGACAGTGGGAGCATGTTTAAAGTTGTGAGGGGTTGGAAAGGAGACTGGGAAAGAAGGGTTTTTTCATGTTGTTATTTACCTCTCCCAAAGATAACTAACAGCAAGAAGGAAAACCTCTCTGCCTAGAGTCTGGCAGAGAAAATGTTGTATTTATGTGTGTGTGCTGGGTGAAGATGTAAGAGAAGGAATGTTGAATTAGTAATCCTCAACATTCCTCCATTCACAGATCAAAAGCTCTTTACAATGTTGGCTTCTAGGAAAGGTAAGGCCAAATTTGTTTAAACTTTAAACTTTTTTTTAAACTTAGCCATTAACAGTAGAGATTTTTACTTAGCCACTGATAGAGATTTTTTGGGCTGATGCCAATAGCCGATTTTTAAGGAAGTGTATCAGCCAATACCAATCCAATTTCCAATACAGGCTGTCGGGCTGTGAAGAGCAGTGTCCAGCTGGTAAGTCTGTTGTGGTGGAAGGGGAGGGGGGAAGGAAAGGGCATGGGGGGGGGGCCAGATTGAGACCCCTGCAGTGAGGGAGGGACTGGAGCCAAACCTGGCTGGGCAACACCTTCCCCGAGGTGAGGGCAGGGCATGGCTGCACTTGAGGCATGCAGCAGCAGTGCTGGGGGCAGGGGTTGGGGGGCTACAGCAAATTTTGGGGAGGCTGAAGCCCCCCCTCCCCCATAGCCCCTTCATAGTGTCGCCGCCGCATGCCCCAAGCACAGCCCAGCCCAGCCCCCCACTGGGAAGAGCCCGGCACAGCCCTGGCCCCAGCCCACAGAGGCAGCCTGCCCTGTCCCACACAAATCTGGGGGGCACCCTCCTCATACCCTCCCAGAGTGCACACAACAGTGCAAGCTGCCCCCCCCTTCCCATGCCCTCCGGACAAGCTGTGGTTCCATCCCATGCCACACCCCGCCCCAGTTGGGCAGCACCTGCCCCAGCCCTTGCTCCAGCCCCACTCCCTCCCTCACTGCAGGGGCCTCGAACTTTCCTTGCCTTCCCCCTCCCCTTCCCACCACAACAGACTTACCAGCTGGACACAGCTCTCCAAGCTCCTGTGTTGCGCTCCTGGCCCTGTGCACGATGTGGCTGCACACGTGCACAGGGCATTTAAATGGCCACATTATCGGCCGCATCAGGCAAAAAAAGCCGTTTTTCAATACAGTCAATTTTCTTTATATCGGTGCCGATCCAATACCAGACTGATGCATCAGTGCACCTCTAATTAACAGGCAAATCCATAACTCCACACCTAGGAACCCAAACATGCAGACTGCTCTTATAAGGAACCAAACCCCTATAGTTTCCAATAAAGATAGACCACAATAACTTTAGACCCAAATACAGATGCAGATGTTCAGCTACAGGCACCTAGATCTAACCAGTTTTAGCCTATATAATTAGGTTATGATCACACAGATTTCGTGAAAGAGTCAACAAAGTAGGTTTCTTGCCTAATCTTTTCCTTCACTGAATTTTATGATATCATTTTATGATATTAAAAGACAAAGGAAAGCACTGAAATACTGACATAAGAATTCATCACCAGATTGCTATACATGGTACTTTTTGTAAAAACCTATTTAAAAATAATATTCACTTCAAATTACATATTTAAACAACCTAACAACTCTGAATCTCTTTCCTTCCCTGGGTTTAAAATAAAATATGTGACAATAGTCTTAAAAAAACCCAAGCAAACAGAAAAACCCAAACAACTTTTCTCATTAAAAAAAAATGAAAAAGAATACTGTTTTCAAACAACTTTATACTACAAAGTTCAAATTTAACCCAGAAAGCAAGTTTCTGTGCTGCATGTATTCTTTGAGGACTTAAACCTTTGAAGACACTTACACAACAACTTTGTAAATTGGGGCATCAAAGATATAGGCCACAGACCTGTGTCACTTGGCTCGCAGGGCAGGAAGTTTGGTGGCAGAGTGATAGCAACATTAACTGCAATGGTTTCTGGACTTGTGACGGCCACTGCTCATCCCACCACCAAATTTCTGGAGAACCCTGCTGGCTAAATGACAGAGCTCCATATCTGAGCCACAGAGAGCCCCACACTGTGCACCCAGCCATGGGGCCCAATGAGTTTGAAACCACTGTTCTTGATATTTATTAGTGGATATTCAATTAGACCAATAAGTAGTACTTAGTTTATCTGGAAGATTTATAGGGTTCCAGTTACCATCCTATCATAGATGCCTACAATACATAATTCAGGATTAGAGGCAATATTTAATTACATTCATAATTAAAGTAGAGTGCCTTATGACAGATAAACTAAACAGCTTTATTTTAAGGAACTTGAACAGCCAATGACTCAGCTTTCTTTACTGGAGTTGTAGGTGTTTAACTCTAAAAATTGGGACACTACTTTAGGCACATAACATGGCATAAGATATCTAACCTGAGAAACCAGAGATGAACAGTTGTCTATTATATATGGTTATTGGCCAGAGCTCACATCTTTCTAGGGACAAAATGTCATGAAGAGCTTAGTAGCCTCAGTGTGAAAATAAAATGTTTTGCAAAGAAAGAACTCAAGGTTCAGTGCAGCAGTCTTTTCTCAGGAATGTTCATTAAGCTTAGGTCTAATTAAAAAGCTACAAAGGGTTAACTCCAAAACTTAAGCAATAGCCAACTTACTGAACCAAGCAGCCAAAACAAGTTCTTAATGTATCAAAACATACAGTGTACTAAACCATGCATTTGAATTGCCTAAAGGAACTAAAAAGCCAAGAACTAATCAAGCTGTTCTGGTAAGGTTAGTATTTAGCAAGATTAACCAGGAATGTAACAAATAAATTAAGTTTGTGATGCACTGAAATGTAGAATGTGAAAATCACAGTGTAGCTTATAAAATGGACATGTTTGGTACATGATCAATATTCTGATTGGCTAGTAAATGCACAAATCAAAATGTGTGTCCAGGAAACTGAATGTGTATTAACTTGTGACTGGATTATTGAACAAAACATGTTTCTATAAAGATGCACAGTTGGGGGGGGGGCTATTCTTTATAGGAAGGCTTGTGCTACCTTTAAAATGATATGCATCAGGATTCAGAAAGATTTTCTGGGAATCAAGGAAAGAAAACTGCCTGAAAGCAGAGGAAAAGAAAAAGTGCAAAAAAATAATAAAAACAAAATGCTCCTTCAGAGACATCACAGTCCAACTGTGTAAACAGAAAACTTTGTGATAGTTCAGGTCAGCAATTCTCAACCAGGGTGTCATGACACCTGGGATGCCTTGAGATTCTTTTACAGGTGCCACAGGATGTCATGTGAGGTTAGCACTGTTTGGTGTGCAAGCATGATTCAAACAGGAATGCATCATGTTTAAAACATTCTGACTTGCTCTTTTTCTGAGTCATCTGCAACCGAAGAATTGCTCTAGTATTTTTCTATAGTTAAAAAAGAAGAGTGAAAACTAAGAGCTGGCATTTTCCAAGGGGTGCCTTGAGTCTAAAAAGATCGAGAACCACTGGTCTAGGTGGTATTACCATGTACAAGTATAGGACTCTAGAATCTTACGGGTAGTATTTGGGAAGGTGAACTGGACTGATCACAGTTGAGCTTTCAAGCATAACAGCTGATCTGCTGCTATCTTGATCATCAAAAACATGCAGAACATCCTAACCCCTTCAGACCTGCATATTTTCCACGCTTGGGATGCATGATCTCCAAAAGAGGTTC